GCCCTCACCCCAGGTATGGCCTGGACAGTGATGGCTGGTGGGGAGCATGCCTTCGGCCTGCCTATAATGCCCGTGTCTCCGCCATCAACCCAATGCCAACTGTAGAGAAACTGTGGTAAAACACACACAACACACAATGCACCACCGTAGCCGTGTTCAAGTGTGCGGTCCAGCGGCACTAGGTGTGTTCACGTTGGTGTGAAACCATCCCCACCCTCCGTCCCCAAACCGCTTCATCTAACAAAAGCAAAACCCTGTCCCCATTAAACACGCACTCCCTGTGCCCCTCCCCCCTCCCTGCCATGGGCCTTCATTCTGCTTTCTGTCTCTTTGTACACGACCACACTGGGTGCCCATGTAAGTCGGGTCACACAGCCTGTCCTTTCGTGATTGGTTTATTTCACTTCAAAAATGTCTTCAACGGTCATTCATGCTATAGCATGCGTCAGGATTTCATTTTTTAAGGTGGAAAAACACTTCATTGTAAGTACACACTACACTTTGCTTATCCATTCACCCACTGAGGGACCTCTGGGTGGCTTCCATCCCTTGGCTGTTGGGAATCACGATGCTGTGAACACGGGTGTGTGAATACCTGAGTCCCTGCTTTCAACGCTCCAGGGTGTATGCCCAAGAGAGGAACTACAAACCCTCACGTTTTGTTCTCGCTGCTGATGGACGGGGTTTTCCCAGCCCCGTGTTTGTGAATTTCACTTTGTGATCCCGAGGGAGCCTCCCCCTGTGAACCGTCATCTCTGCAAACGGTTCTCATATATCACCCTGTTCATTAGACCCGCTTCCTGGTTGTCATTTATGTCTAATTACCATGCGGCACGACGGTGGTCATTTACATCACCAGATCTGTGTCGGAATTACTGGCAAGGCTCTGTGCCAAGCACCAGGCTGGTTTCTCACGAAGCTCGGTCACCTGTCTCCAAATGATACCAATGAATGAGAACATGGATAGAAAGTGGCCCTGGTTTGGTACCACGCTGCCTCCCTCCCCCAACCCGGGCTCCCTCCTGTGAGTTGCCGCGCTCTGCTCTGAGCTCTCTTCCACACTCCGTGCTTTCTGAGAAATGCCGGGACAGCCTCTGGCACACTGGGCGGGGTGGCAGGGATCTCAGCCCTCGCTCGTATGGTCCCCTGGAGGGGTCAGCAGTGTGGTACACAGCAATCTCGTGGGGTGAAGGTTTCAACAGAAGAAAAAATCCTCGTGTCGCTAAGGTTGCTAACTGTCCAGAGCAGTGGGCCGTGAAGGGAAGCGAGACAGCCCACTTCCTACCCAACAAGGAGGGCCAGAGCTTCAGAAGCCCTCACCCCCTCAGGCCACCCCATCTCCAGGTCTCCAGCTGCAGGACAGGGCGTGGGTTCCTGTCGGACCACTCAGGTGACTTTCCCCCTTTCTCTCTGTAGTGTAAGGGCCACACAGGAATGTAATGTGTTTGGTATTCCTGCCGTAGTTGTACAAGAATATGGAAGAGGCACACAGCAGTGAAACATGAGAGAGAATGGCAAATTCTTCTTTAGAAAACATCTAACAATGAGTTTTAAAGTTCAGCATAGTCCAGATACACGCTCTTTCAGTATTTTTACCGTGTATAATGAGCACTTTTTTTGCCCAAACTTTTGAGGGAACAATAAGGATGCGCATTATACATGGGTCGTGCCTGAAATACCTTGTGTCTGTTCTTGTGTTTTGTAATTATTTGTTACATGAAATTTCTTGTACCGTAATATGTCCAAAAATAAATGCTAAAATTCCTTTATAATACAAAAAAACAAGTATCTAAATACAAATAAGTAAAAACATTGAATTAAAAATTAAAACAAAAATTATGTTCCTGAAAGTTGGGGCCCAAGATGTGGGTGCGCATTATACATGGCAAAATACGGTATCTTTCATTGCCTAAAAAGCTCCCTCCAACCTAACAGCTGAAGACAACCACCGTCTTGCACCTCGGCATTCAAGTGCCGCACTCTGGGAGACCCTTCGGTCCTGGGGCATGGGCGGAGCTCCCCTGGTGGTGCTCAGCGGGGGGACAGCCTGGTCTGGAGGACTCAAGATGTCTGGGGCCTCAGCAGGGGTGGTCCGCAGGCTGGCCCCCGGAACTGTCACCCAGAACACCTTCTCAAGGCTTCTCCAGCAGCGCGGGTTACCGGAGATCTTAGCAGTGGCTCAGGGCTCCCAGGACAGGGTACGCCAGTGAACCAGGTGGGAGCCTGCTAGCCTTCTAGGATCCAGCCTGGAAATCACGGAGCATCATTTCTGATGCGCTCTGTGGGTTGCAATAGTCACAAGGCCAGAGCCCCAAGGGTGGAAGACACAATCGCCACCTTTTGGTGAGAGGAGGGTCAAGGACTTTGCAACCGTATTTTAAAGCTGCCACATGTGTGCATGTATGTTTGAGTCACGGTGATGAACCACCCCTGTGTGTGCAATTGTTAACCACACGTGCCCCACAAACTGGTGTTCAGAGGGCCCTGTGGTTAGGGAAGGGGGAGTAGTCACATCCCTTTGGGGCATCAGAGGTGCTGTGGGCCAGGCATGGCATTCGAGCCCGCCCTGAAGGGTAGGCACCACATCACAGAAGGAGATGGGACAGGGACCATCCGGAACAGATGGGCAGAGGCAGTGAGGCAGGCAGAGCAGGAGAGGCCCCACAGGAAGCAGAACCCCGAGGGTGCTCTGCCAGAGGAACTGGCCTCAGCAATGTGTCCAATTGACAAAGACCAGGAAGGCTGGGAGGAGGAGCAAGGGTTACGGAGCACTCTGCAGAGAAGGACAGTGCAGGGTGACGGAGCCTTGTAGGGAGTGAGTCTGTCGGCAGACAGCCAAGAGCTGGCAGAGAGGGAGCAGTGTGGGCTGTGGGAGAGCAGGGGACTGGCTGAGGAGCACAGGGCTCCCGGGACCGAGGGACAAGCGTGGTGGCTCAGTGCTTTCCTCCTCAAGGGCAAGAGGAAAGGGAAGAATGAATTCGTGATTGAGAGGCTTGGAAGTGCAGAAAAGTGAAGTTGAGGGTTCAATCTTCTAAGTAGCGGGTAAGGTTATTTACTAAAAGTGAAAAATCACTGCTGAAAATTTCTACATAAACACGAAATACGGTGTTTTTATTTCTACAATTCAGCAAAGTAGGCAGAGACTTAGGAGTTATGCTAAATAATTCCACAATTCAATTTCATTTATTTTTTAATGTTTTTTCTAGTTTATGATAATAACCTATGTCCACTGTAGAAAATTAAAAGAATATAAAAATGTACAATAAATAAAAACCACCCATACCCTCCACTATCACCCCAAAACAACAATTAGGGGCTGGTTTTCCTTCTATGCAGTGGATCTATTAGGCAGAGACAGTTCTGTTTTTAACAAATTTGAGACTCTGTACATACCATTTTATATATTCTATAAAATATTAGAACATATTTTCTAATATATATTCTATAAAATATTCTGTGTGCTTCAATAGTCTTCAAACACATCCTTACTAGCTATATGGTGTCCTCACTGTAGAGCTACCATAATTTATCATTCTCCTATTTGGAACATTTTAATTGTTTCTGATTCTTCATTATGTCATATATATGTATGTGTATGTAAGACACACACACATTTTATAGGTGTAATATACACGCATATTGTTTATGAACGGTCTTGTCTGCAAATCTTTGCCTCTGCCTCTCTGACGACTTTTTCTTAGGATGCACCACGGAGCCACATAAGCTCTTTCCCGGCTCTTGACACAGAGGTTCAACCACCTTTCCCCAACGGGCGCACCCACTCCCACGGTCACCACAGGCAGGTGGCGCCCTGGCCCTCCTCACCTTGGCCAGAAACCCCACTTGGCGAGGCTCAGTTTCGCCTGGTAGTTGGCACCTTGGGCCTTTTCCACTCCTCATGTTTTAAAGAATTAGGGCTCAGAGACAGGGCTTTCCCAAAACTGTGGGGGATGGGAAGGTGGGAGGAGACTTCTGGTAAGAGGCCAAGGTGCCTGAGGCGGGCACGTCCTCCTCGCTGGAACCACGCTGCTCAACCCTCGGGCCAGCGAGACAGACGGGAAAGCGCACCCACGCTCTCCGTGCGGCCCTAGTGACTGGCGGGGAAGACACAGGTGGGAGAGGGCGGGGCCGCGACCAGCGCTGAGACGGACAGCGCAAAGCCCGGAAAGGTGGCCAACAGTGCGTGTGCGCACACACTCTTACTGGCATGTACAGACACACTCACACAGTCTCATAGACACACGTGTGTGTGCACAGACACACTGTCAGGCACATTCACATACAGACACGCACTCACACAGAGACATCCTCGCGCACACACACACGCATGCGTGCACACACATTCTCCCAGGCGCACACATGGACATGCTCTCGCAGACACACATGCGTGCACACAAACACCCTCAGGTGCACACCTGCATGCACACAGTCACGGGCACACACTGACAGATTCATGCATGGACATGTGCACTGGCTCTCAGTCTCACATGCGCGTGCGCACAGACACCCTCATAGACACTAGCACACTCACTCGGACACATGCACACACACTTGCGCACATACACACTCACAGGCACTCACACAGAGAGACATGTACACTGAGACACATTCCCACACGCGCGCGCATGCACACAGGCGCGCCCACAGACTCACGCGCACACACTCGCAGACACACATGTACATTTCACAATCTCACATTCACACACGTGCACACACACGCACACGCTCTGACACTCGGGTTCGGTTACTGAGCCAGGCGGCAGCAAGAGGAGCCCAGGGCTGGGCCGTCCGTCCGGCCCCGAGGTCCGGGCAAGTTTGCACACGGTCTCCAGGGACGCTCGGGTTACCTGAGCCGGCACCACGTCAGCGCCACATCATCGCGGCTTTGTGTGCCGAAGGAAGCAGGAAAAGAAAGAAGAAAACCTCCCGGAACGAGCCAATCGCTAGCAGCGGACGCGGGCTCAGCGGGCGGGGCGGGGACCGAGGGCGGGCGCGGGGGGCGGGCGCGCGGAGCCGCTCCGGGCGGCGTGCGGCGCGGCCCGGCTCTGGCTCGGGCTCCGGCGGCGGGAAGATGCTGCAGTCCCTGGCCGGCAGTTCGTGCGTGCGCCTGGTGGAGCGGCACCGCTCGGCCTGGTGCTTCGGTTTCCTGGTGCTCGGATACCTGCTCTACCTGGTCTTCGGCGCCGTGGTCTTCTCGTCGGTGGAGCTGCCCTACGAGGACCTGCTGCGCCAGGAGCTGCGCAAGCTGAAGCGGCGCTTCCTGGAGGAGCACGAGTGCCTGTCGGAGCCGCAGCTCGAGCAGTTCCTGGGCCGGGTGCTGGAGGCCAGCAACTACGGCGTGTCGGTGCTCAGCAACGCCTCCGGCAACTGGAACTGGGACTTCACCTCCGCGCTCTTCTTCGCCAGCACCGTGCTCTCCACCACCGGTAGGAGCCCGTCGCCCCCGGGCCCCCGCGGCCACTCGGATCCCCGCGCCCCGGCCCCTCCGACCCACCCACCCCCACCCCGACCCCTCCGACCCACCCACCCCCACCCCGGCCAGCCTGGCCGGTCCAACCGGGCCACCGGCCCCTCCCAGGGAGACTCGCCAAGGGCGGGCTCCGTGGAGCCGGAAGCCGGTGAGGTGGCCTCGGAACGTGACTTGGCCGTTGCTGCCCTTAACTCTTGGAAAGTGGTCTCCTACTAAAGCCTCCGGCCTGGGTGGTTCTAAGGGCTTCTTGGGCTGCGCCCCTTCTTCTGGGTCTCCTACACCCATCCCCTCCGGTTCTAATCTACACCGCCCTGGCCGCGGCGCAGAGAGGCCCGGGGATGCTGGAAACTCCGTGTTCCGAGCGCGCGCACCTCCCGCCGGACCCATCCCGCAGGCCCAGGCTGCAGAATCGAACCGTAGCGCGTTCAAGGAAGGGTCACCTTCCGGAGGGCGCCTTCCCTTTCGAGCTCTTTCCTACCTTCGGGGCAGTTTGGGGAAACCGGGTGACATCACTCTGCTCCTCTCCGGTGACCTCTGAGCGCACAGGCCGATCCGGTTTCTTTTCAGAGTAGGAGAGAGAGTGAGGGAATGCCGAGCCCCTGGCAAAATGGGGCACCCTGATTCAGCAGTTTCTTCAACTTTAGGTGTGCTAGGCCACCCTTAAACTCTTAAACTTGGGAGCGCACTTCCCTTGCGCTAGTCACCCCGCAGGACGTGCGCCGAGTGGAGGAGCTTCTGGGGGTGACCCGGGAGGCCCGCCCCGTCCTCCAGGTAGCACGTTTGTGCTGCTAGACCAGGTGAACGGAGGCTGGGTTTTCCCCGCGGCTAAGGGAGCCACCTACCCCCCCCCCCGCGTGGAGATTTGTAAATTGGTACGTGGATCCCGGAAAGTGTCTCAAAGAGTGCCCAGCACACAGCCCCGTATCTGTGTGCGGAACAGCAGATCCTCGAACAGTCCATCACGGCTTGCACTGCTGGATCGCTGCTACCCGTGTGGTTCTGGAACCGGGGCCTTGAGACTTCCTGGCCGGGAGCTCTTACCTCATCCTCTACCCCCCCACCCCCGCCCTGGGTGGTGAACCAACACTGTCACTTCAACTCTTCCTTCACCCCACTCCTTTCCACCTCCCAGGGTTGGCTTGTTTCTAATGGCTTTGGGCTGAGTCCAGTTGATAGTTTCGGTGATTATTTGGTAAAGCCGGCAATGCCTCAAAAGTCTGGGGGTGTGAATGACTAAACCGAAGTGCGCTTACCCTGAGTAAACAGAAGTCCCGCTTGCACTGTGATCCTTGTAAAACTGTGTTAAATGTAGCCCTAAACAAGACAGACCTGTTACCTTACTTCTTAGCTTTTCCAACATGACTGTTTAGCTTTCTACCGGTCCCGAGTCTGTGGCCTGTGCCTGGTCCTCAGGTCACTCAGGAGTCACCAGCCTTTCCTTGGGGCATGCGCATGCTAAATTGGGAATCCTTCCTTCTCTACAGAAGTGTTTCCCTGGGCTCCAGGAGGTCTCCACGGGGTCACAGGGGTGGGCAAACATCGTGAAGAATGATGGTAACTTTTAGCACTCACTGGTACTTTCAAAGATGGAACAGCAGTAAGAACAATGTTATGGAAAAAGTTATTGGGTGGGATTTCCCAACGCCGTGCAGCTCCTGTATAGTCTCAGCACTGTACGCGCCTAATTAAACGTCAAAAATACTGGTTTACATTTTGAAGAGGCAATTATTTCCCAGACTTTCTTCTGTTTTTTTCTTTAATTCCAGCTCCCGTTTAAAAAAAAAAAGTGGGGTGGATGGCTTATTATTGGTATTCAGATTGCACCGTGGCTCTTAAGAAAGTCTGCATTCATGCGGAAACAAGAGTTCTTTCAGGGAGCCAGGGCGAGGGGCGCTTCAGGATAAACTGGATGAAAGGGTGCCTCTTGGGTTGTAAGATTAGCAAATCAATGAATTTTGGTCATTGATAGGATGGAATTGAATTTGCTAATTCAAATAGAATTCTAATAGAATTTAGAATCTATCCTAAGTCAACGTTCTGTTGTGTTGGTTTTGTACTGACCCGCTTCTGACAACATTGCATGTTCCGTGTAGTATCCAAAACACCAGGAAAGGACCAGACCACTCAAATAACTCACATGAAAGAGATGCACTGGTTCATGCTACTCTTTTGGGTTAGGTACTGGACATGCTGCGTGTGTGTGTGTGTGTGTGTGTGTGTAGCATTTTTCGCTCTGTTGATGGGCAGCCACAGAGATAATTGTCACCCATTCAGTCAATATTGGCAGCCTCTGCCTTGTCTGGAGTAGAAACACGGGGCATTATTACAGAGGCACTGTTCGTGGGGGCCTTCCGTGCCATATCCAAGAGCATGAACACATTATATCGAAGCTTTTCATCCCCCAAAGGACAGGCTTCTTTCTTTTCCCCTGGAAGGAGCTGGGGAAAGCCCTCATGGTCTGTCTGGAGAAAGTCTTAGGTTGGTCATTCAGCACTGTTCTCTGGTCATTCTCTGTGCTGCCAGGGTCGCTGAATGATTTCCAGCAACAGTGTAACATCTCTGCTTGACGACAGCGTGCGAGAGAGCACAGCTCACTTCCACCCGCACAGAGGGACGTGCTGTGTAAAAATAAAAGGTGTGCGACACTGACCTTTCCCGCTTCACTTTTTTTAAAGATGTTATTAATTTATTTTTAGACAGAGGAGAAGGGAAAGAGAAAGAGAGGGAGAGAAACATCAGTGTGTGGTTGCCTCTTGTGCGCCCCCTACTGGGGACCTGACCCACAACCCAGACATGTGCCCTGACTGAGAATCGAACCAGCGACCCTCTGCTTCGTAGTTTGGCATTCAATCCACTGAGCCACACCAGCTAGGGCCCACTTCACTTTTATACTGGGATTTCTTTCAAGGATTAAGGAAATAATATGTGACACTTGGGGGATAAGGAAGAATTTTATTAGAATTATCTGTAGTAGCTGCATAAAATTTTGAGTGACCTCATCCATTCTTAAGAACCATCTGTCCTGTCCGTTTTCTGTCCGTGTGCTTCCTTATTCACCCCCCTAAGCAAGGCTGCATCAGGCGATGGGTGATGGGTTAAAATATGGTCTTTGTATGCATAGGAATGCAAAGCTGCCGCTGCCTGTGCAGCTTTGTAAATGTGGGGTCCATGAGACAGCTCAGTTGCTATTTCTGTCCCTTGGACACATGGTGCAGCCTTATTCCTGTGTATGGAGAGACGTTTTGAAGCTCTTATTTCAGGTGCTCACAACGGAACTGACTGTAGCTTGTTTTACACTGGTTTTCGACTTAGGCAGGGAGCCCCCCCCCCGCCATGCGTTGGAGAAGGCGGGAAGCAGTAATGGGGATGCTGCATCGATCCTCGGTTTTCCAATTTTTTTAAAGATTTATTTTATTTTTAGACAGAGGGGAAGGGAGGGAGAAAGAGAGGGAGAGAAGCACCAGCGTGTGGTTGCCCCTCGAGCACCCCCTACTGGGGACGTGGCATGCAACCCAGGCATGTGCCCTGACTGGGAATCGAACCAGCAACTCCTTGGTTCACAGGCCGACGCTCAGTCCACTGAGCCGAACCAGCCAGGGCTCCGGTGTTCATAAGACAAATCTGTTCTCACCAATAACATATTTATTGAGCCTTTAACTAGAATGGGGTGCGCACACTGTGCTCCTGGCCAAATCCAGCCCACCGCCTGTGTTCGTGCGGCCCAAGCTAAGAATGGGTTTCATATTTTCCAGTGGGTGGGGTAAATGTCAAAGGAAAAATAGTATTTCCTACCACACTATAGTGGTATGAAAATCAAATCTCAGGGCCCATAGCAACATCCCACTGGTGTCTGCACAGCCACATGCATTTGCTTCCGGATCATTCCTGGTTGTTCCCCAGCGACTGTGGCCGAGCTGCATGGCGGTGACAGAGACCGTGTGTCTGCAGACCCTAAACTACTGTCTCTTCCTCTGCAAGAAACGCTTACTGGCCCTGCTTCAGAATCGTGTTTGCAGGGGGCCCTGAGAGGAGTGCTAAGGGCCTTCTGTCCTTTTGGAAAACGTCCCTTGAGGCTGTCTGGCGTCTTCGACGTCTGCGCTTCTTTCTAAGTGCTGTGCGCCATTTAAATCGTGCGCTGCTTCCCACAACCGCTTGCAGAACACATGGTTGCGTGTCGTAGGATGTCACTAGTTCTGGGTCCGATGGATGGCACTGCCTTGTTTTTCCAATGGTGACAAAGCTGAACTTCACGTTGGTATCACCTTTTCTCTACCGGGCGGTAACTACCACATCTCGACCAAAAATGACCACAAGGAAAGAGATTCCACCCAAAACAAACGAGCGAACTCCATCAGCCAGAGACAGACCTGAAGTGCACGCTCTGTATCCTCTGCAGAGCCTTTGGTCTCAACTTGGAGCCGTTAGGTTTCATTGTAACGAATTTAATGATCTGGTTTCCACGCCCCTGGCAGGTTAAAGAAGGAAAGGCGCCGCCCCAGACAAACATAACGGGAAGGTCACAAAAACAAAAACAGAAAAATGAAACATTTTAGAAAAACAAGCGTCTGCCAAACACTTCACTGTGCCACACAGCGCTGACACATGACTGTCACAAAGAACTAACGAGATGTGGATGTCATTGTCCCCTCCCCACAGAGACTGGCTCTGAAGTTCAGATTGAGCCACTCCCTACCTGGGTGCCTGAGGGAGACGGGGTGTGGCCTGGAGTGGAATCCAGGTGTGTCTGAGCCAGTAGCTCGAGCATTGCATAGTGACCCAGTGTACGGGGTGGTTGTGGGCTGACTTGTGTCTCCCCCAAATTCCTGTGTTGAAGTCCTCACATTGGTACTTCAGAGCGTAACTGGGAAGGGCTGGGGCGTGCAACAAAGGTGGAATGACAAGGTCGCTCTCTGTGAGCCCAGCAGAGAGGCTGCTGGACAAATCCAACCTGTTGGC